GTCTCTTCAGTAATGGCTTTGCGCTTGTCCTCGCCAAACTTCCTCCTCTTTTGAATGACGGGCTTTGCACGTGGATCGATGGCTAGTTTGTGGCACATGAAATCGGGGTCCACTCCTGGCATATCTTTGACGTGCCACGCGAACGCTGACATGTTCGCTTTCAACACTTCAATCAATTTCTCGGCGTCCTCCTGGCTGAGGGACGTACCGACCTTCACTTTCTTTCCTTTCGCCAACGTCACCTCCTTAATGTCCTCCGCAGGAGCTGGTCGGCGATCAAAATGGCTCACCCTGGGGTCTAAATCGATGGAGTGGACCTCCTGCTCCACCTGCGCCGTATATAGTCGTCTTCGCGCCTTCAAACTGTCACCGTAGCATTTCCGAGCAACCTCCTGGTCCACTCGGAGAGTTCCCACAGTACCGTTCGGTAACGGATACTTCACCTTCAGATGGGAAGTGGACACCACCGCTCCTAGCTTGTTCAGGGTGGGCCTGCCGATCAGTATACTATAGGATGACTGCGCGTTGACTACCAAATACCGAACAACCACCGTCTTCATCTGAGCACCCTGGCCGAAAGTCGTTTCCAGATCGACATATCCCCTTGCGGTGACCTGGTCTCCTGCAAAACCCACTAGAGTTCCTGCATAAGGAATTAGTCGATCGTTAGGTATCTTCATCCCCTCAAAAGTTTCCCAGAATAAAATGTCAGCGGAACTTCCCTGGTCGATCAGTACATGCTTCACATTGTACCCCATGACGATTGCTGATACGACAATGGGGTCGTCCTCATGAGGGGCTACTCCTTCGTAGTCTGAGTCTGAGAATGAAATCTCAGGCTGAGTAGGTCGCCTGAATTTCGATACTGTAAGCACCGACCGAGTGTACCTTTTTCGGGCAGCAGAGGTAGCTGCCCCGCTCGCGAAGCCCCCTGCGATGGTGTTGAAATCCCCATGGATGGGTTGCTGATGGGCTTCCGACACCTTTGCTGGCGCGTCTTTGGGAGGAGTTCTCTCTCTACGCCTATCCCTCCTGGTGTCATCTTGCGTGTGCCTGGGTCGCCTATCTGACGAGCTTCCCTCCTGCTTTCTCGCCACAAACTCCTTCAGTCGTCCCTCCTTGATCAAGCGCTCGATCTGTCTTCCCAAAACGAAACAATTTTCAGTTGAGTGCCCATGCGTCCTATGGAACTCACACCAATCGGTTTTGAAAGGGCCCAACTGACGCTCCGTCGCCACTGGGAACTCAAACAACGATGCGCTGTTGACATCGTGGAGTATCTGTCGCTTGGGTACAGTGAGTGGAGTAAACTTCTCTTCTTCATTGCTGCGCGTCCACTCGCCCCTTGACCGACCACCGTGATCGGCCTGCTTGTAGTTACCCTCCTTCACGTTGTATCGGTCACGTCGTTTACTCCAGTCTGATCGCGGTCGAAGATGCTTGTTTCCCTCCTTATTGCTACCCCCTGTTTCTCGGTTCTCAGCTGCGCTCTTAATAATCTGGTTCTCTTCCGTCTTGATGTGGCTCAAGGCGAAAGCCCTCACCTCCGACATCGTTTGACAATTCGCCCTTTCGAGCGCAATGTCGAAGGCTCCGGACCTCAAACCTTTCTGGAAAGCGATGACCGCCATCCTCTCGTCCAGCGATGCTATCCTCAAGGCGACCTCGTTAAATCGTTGTAGGAAATCTTTCAGAGACTCCTCGTGTTGTTGCTTGAGGTAGAACAAATCCGACGTGATCGGCGGCTTCTTTTTGTTAGCAGCGAATTGTGCCATAAACATCCGACTGAAAATATCGAAGTCGGTGATGGATCGGTTAGGGAGGCCACTGAACCAATCCAGCGCCGCCTTCTTGAGTGTTCCCATGAATAGCTTGCAGCGGACCTTCATACTTCCCCCGCAAATCAACATCTGAGCTCGGAAATCCGTTAGATGTTGACTGGGATCCTGCGTTCCGTCGAAGGGTTCGACCTGCGGTATTCGATGATCCCTAGGGATGGCCTCGGCCTCTATGGCTTCCGAGAAAGGCCGAAAATCCCTTGGGACTTCCAGCATGACATCCTCCTCCACCGTTCTGGTGTTGGCTTCTATTCTGGCCTGTAACTCATCCGCTCGCCTCCTGATCTCCTCGTTCTCGCGCTGAATGGCCTCCTCTCTCCTTGGAGCGTGCATTATCCTCCCGTAGGCCATTGATCATGGCCATTATCTCCTCCATGGTAGGGGGTTGAGAGTTGTTGTTGTTGCCGCCTCTCGCCATGGTAAAGTGTAGGTCTTTCTGTATGACTTGGGGCGTAGGAAAAGTTTCACCGTAGCCCCACGGTGGGCGCCAAAATGGTCCGGCCAAAGGGTGGACTAAGGTTTCTGCCTAGGTCAAACCTCAAAGCCAGAGCATTTAAAAGTGTAATCTGCCTTCTCAACTCTAGGGTTTTGGGTTTTATGGTACGTCGTTCATGGGCCTCTTGGGCCCCGAGAATCAAGGGATTTTCCTATCTGTTTTTATCATGATGGCGCAGGGTTAGTGGGGACGAGCTCGGTCGGATTCCGACCGACTGGGCCCATACCGAGGGTCCAGTAAGGTAAATGCCGAGTAGTTCCCTTGCAGGCGAGAGGAATCGAGCTTAGCTAGTCGAGTCGGATTACGATCTGGATGGTACACTTACCTTCCAGCCTTGAGCCTATAAGGCGAGAGGGCTTAAGGTATGACAATCTAGTCGGGTATTGGTCGAGTGAAGGGTCGCGATCGCCCTATCACCGATAAAGAACTCAAGTCGGATTACGACCAGGATGGTACAGTATTTAAAAATGAATAAATATTTTAAATATATAAATTATTTAATTTTATACTTATGGTAAATAAATTATATTATAACACAAAATTACTTTTATTTATTGATTACTTATTTTAAAAGTATTAATTTTTAATTTATAAATAATAAAAATATATATTATATATAAATTACAAATAAAAACTGAATTATAGATATGATTTTTATTTTTTTTTAAATGTGCACAAAGTTAGAATTAATAATGTATGTATCGATATTATCCCATTCCCAAACGTTATGATAAAAGTTTACTACCAATTAAATTAGTAGTTTAAAAAACATCTATAATAACATTACATACCAATTAAATTATAAAAAGTTATTTTATATGGAAAAAATAGTTAATAAAAATAAACATTAATTTGTCAAAATAAACTAAATGAAGCACTCAGTTGAACTATTTTCCAAAAAATTGGATGAGGACCAAAGCATAGTCACCATCAGCGGCGACCATAACGAAGAGTTAAACATAGGGATGCCTTGTTCCTTTGATACGAAGGTCACGAGTCTCAACTTGTCAATTTGCCATTTGATTTCATTTGAGTCCCATTTTCTGATCTTTTAAGATTATTGTACTTCTTGCTGTATCATTTATCATAAATCTTCAAGAATGGTTTTGGGTTTTGTTGATCGTGATTCGTGACGAGGCGAAAAGTTGAGAGCTTTATTTGGGGAATAGCAAGTATTGAGCTTTTGGGATTGTGGGTCTTGCCAAAATGAGGAGGCGTCAGGTTTTGAAGCATTCAATCGCTCTTATAAGCATGATGGTGTGTGTTTGTTGCCTTATGATTGTGACCGTGACTTTTCTCAAACTTCCAGAGACCCCAACAAAAGATAGGGAAATGGGGTTTTACCCAATGATCAGATCCAGAAAAGTTTCCCTTCAAGACGTCAACTTGGGCAAGTTTGGGGAAATGATGCTTGACATGTTGCCTCACGATCTTGCTTTCACTGTTTTTGTTCCTTCCGAGGAAGCTTTCAAGCGAGATCTGCGTCTGGTTGTGAATGATAGTCTGAAACCGGAAAAGTTCAATGATACCTACGCAATTGTGTCTCGTATATTGGGATTTTCTGCTGTCCCTCGTGCACTTTCTTCAGCTAATGTGCGCTTGGGTGAGCTTGTGAACTATGATTCATTATCTGGGTTTCCCTTGTACGTGTCAAAAGACATCGATGGAATGCTTGTTGTTAACAGGATTCGATCAGAAGTAGTAGATGTTAGAAAGAGGGAAATTGTTGTCCATGTCATGGAAGGGGTTGTTATGGATGCTGATTTTGAGCAATCGGTTTTACCTGATGATGATGCAGAGGAGGATTGACTCTCTTCAGGTTTTGCCCTTTGTTTCGGCTTCATTTTGTTGTATTCAACCGAGCCATACTCTTTACACTTGTACATCTGACAATGTACTTCTTTTCCTTTTTCTTTAAAAGTTAAAAAGTACACAAGTATAAGGTTTTCATTTTCTCACCGCAGATATAGAAATACATTTATTATTGCATTTTTGGTTATGTTACGGGTCCATTACATTCAATCTCGGTCCTTTAATGTAGCTCCGAAATTAGAAATTTCATTTTCACATTACAGCTTAATTAAATGGCTGCCTAGTAATTTTGGTCCTCTTCTAGATATTTTGGTGAGAGTAGTATTTATATTTTCTTTAGGGTTTCTGTGTAGAAAATATTTTCAACAAATCAGAGTAATAATCTGAAGCTCAATCGTGTCTCGCAACTGATGAGGCTGTTCTTCAACGATATTATTAACACTGTAATAAATTGGTTATTTCATTCGCCCATCCTTTTATGCACATTATTACCTACAAATACATGTATATTATTATCTCATCTATAGTAAATATTATTGACACAACCTATGAGCGTATTAAGCTTTCAAATGTGTAAACTCTGGATAAAAATGGCTCAATATCCATAAGCATTTAATTGAAGGTAGGAACAAAACTTGATATCACATAATTTCTACTCCTCCTTGGAATGCAGAGTTGCGGAATCAGAGTAATCAAGAACGTAAAGATGACATGATTTCTACTCCTTACCTGATACAAAACTTGAATTTAATTGAGGGTAATTCCAAACAAATAATCCCGCATTAATTGACAGAAACTCAATAAAACCAGCACTGAGAAACCCTAAGGCAGGACTGAATTGATTTTCACTCTGATATTTCTAGTTGTTACTTCCATAATACAATAACATGCCCTAAAGATAAACCAAAATCAGCAAAAACAACAGGAATAAACAGTTGCAGCATGATTCAGAATAGTGTATCTCACCCTGTTTCTAATCATGTTGTGAGAGCAATTACACTTCTAATGAGAGAAGATAGGTATATTACCTGCATCATATCATTCGTTTTCATTACACCACAAGGACAAGGTCACAAGGGTCAATACTCTGGAAGGACATTGCAAAAGACTATAACTTTAATTCACATTCTCAACCTGTGAAAGCCTTGATCATATCAATGACATTAAGATTTAGTAGCAGGTTGAATACATCCTAACAAAATAAAACATGAGATCGTTAAACTCAGAAGGGAAGTAAACATGCTAAAAGAAACGGAAGAAAGCTGCTTGCTTTGTTATACAAACACTAAAGAAAAAATAAAATAAAAAGAAGAAGATCATTTGAAGCATTTTTTTTTCTTTCAGTTATTAATGTGAAGTGACAGATTTAAAACCTAGTTCTAAATATGGACCATGTGATGTGGATCAGAAATAAATAATTCAACCAAAATCCCAGGACCATTTGATAACAGCCATAAAATTAGCAGCTAACCTTCTGCAGACGGTACAGGATATCATGGTTTAAGGGAAGCTTTCCGTGAATGACAAGATCAAGGTAACTTCTTATCTCTTCAAGTCTTGCATCCCAACCCTTCTAGGCTGAGTTTTGCACTCGCCTACATAAGACAAAGTACATTGTCAACATTTGTGCAGGAAGAATCATCCAAGACACTCGTCTAAAAAGACAACATTAATGGCAAGACAACAAAACCGAAATCAAATAGAAAGGAATTAGGACCAATTTGAATAAACTTTTCAATAAGCCCTTTTTATGCGAAGAAATAAGAAAGTAAAATGAATCAAAGTTCACTCAAATTAAAATTAACTTATGTACCAGTACCACAACTTTTTTAGAATATCTTTCATGTAACTTCTCCAAAAGTTGGGGTGTATAATTTGATTTGAATTTTTTAAGTTCCAGAAGAATTTTGATTCGTCTTACCTCCCTAATTCTTCTCATATAAGTGCTTATTAAGAAATTTTTTTAAACTAAACCTCAATGTATAACAAGGGTGGTGGCAGAGTGCTAATGGTTGTATCCTTCACATCTCAAGTGTTCCACTTCAACAGCGTAGTGAGCTTTTGTAGGAATTCCCAACCTCTTATGTTCAACATCAATAATCAATTATAAGTTATAACCAAAACTGGATTCGGAACATAGCTGCATCAACGTGGAATTTAATTAATTAAAATAAAGATTAAAGAGGGATAAAAGCAACATGTATGTTGTCCTAAAAAAATGCAACATCTAGAGTTAAATAACGCTTGAGAATATCAACTTTCGGATGATCAACATTTGTACATAACTGAGTTGGTTTATTTGCTGAAATGATTGAAATAGAAAATTGAAAGTGGAGGGATTAATTACAGGCGCAACAGTTGCTAATGTGAACGGGCCGTCGCTTTGAAAGAGGACCAAAGTAGCGTCATATAACCCAAATCACATTGGGCTTCGGGCTTCAATTTCCATTTCCACTGATTGTAAATAATAGTAGTAATAACTAATAAGGTATTTGATAATTACACTTCCGATTTAATAATATATCTCCCATAGTGTTTTTTTTTCTTTTCCAAATACTTCCAATTTTATCTTTTTAAAAAAATTTAGAAATATATTTTTAATCTTCTTCAAAATATTTTTTTTAAAAAGTAAAAATATACTTTTGTAACTTAGTTATTATAAATGATAGTGAGATTTGTTTCCATAATTTTCCAAAATCCTTTCATTTTTTTTCTTCATTTTGGTACTATTCCTGTCAATTTCATAGTTGAATAGTTTACTTCATTTTATTTTAAAAATTGAATAATTTGAAAGAAAAAAACAGTACCATTAATTAGAGAGATTTTCATGGTCCGTACGTTGCTATTTTTTCAATCATGCATATAGAGTATTGAAAGAGGACGTACATAAAAGTTATATTAGGATTTTCTAATTTTAAATCAGCTATTTAAAGTTATATATTAACTAGTTGGCTGATCCATGCAATGTACAGAGTAATTTGAATTTATTTTTTAAAATATTTGGTAACCTTATATGTTGAGATATATCATGTCTGAATTTATTTATGTGACACATTATGTTAAATAGATTAACATGTATTTGTATTTTTTTTTTCTTTGATTGAGATTGATGAAATTTTTACTTATTTTTATTATTTTTTTTCTACTAGACCTAGCTACTAAATTTATAATTATAACTTGGAGAAAACAATAAGGATTTTTACTTCTATTTTTGATTTCTATAATTAATTAAAGAACAATAACATAATTTTCCAAAATTGATTTGTTCATTAACTTTGAAATGTTGTCCATCCAACATTTTTGCAGTTATTTAGTTATTTACTGTTGTTTTATAGAAAAGAAGAATATCATTTGATGATTATTACTACATTATGTACAAAAACAAAATACACTATAATGTATAAAATTACTTCAATTATATTATAATTATACAACATGGACAAATCAATGTACATGTAATATTTCAACAATATACTTAATATAAGTTACTATAGATGTTTAAGAATCTCTCATTTTTTAAAAGTAAAACATAATAGAGACACATAATACAATATATAAAAATTATAAATAGCTAGGCCTAACAAATATATGAGAAACATATAAATTACCTTTATGTGATACGTGAACAAAGATATAGATTCTAATTTAAAAATTTAAGATAAAAAAAATAACAAACAATTGTTTAGTAATATTAAGATTTTGAATTTAACATGTATAATAACATGATCATCCCTATAAAAGAGGAGAGAAAAAATTAGAGATTATTCTAAATTTAATAATATTAAGATAGACAGATTGTTCGGTAAAAGAAATACACCGATCAAAAGTCAAAACCCACCACTTGACAAGTTTGCAGGATTTCGCTTGAATTAATATAACTAATAAGATACATCAATTATCTGCTTGCCATGCTTGCATTAATTAATGAAGTGTTAACTAAGATCGGTCAAGTTGATCAGTCAAGTCACAGTCAATGCTCAGTATAAGAAAAACGAGATTATGTGCAAATGCAGGGAGCAATGGTGAATCAATGAAGTCAATGTTGCTGTCAAGAGTGAACGGTTGATTGCACTTATGAATTATGATCATCAATATATCATTGCTGTCAACTCTCCTTCTTTTGTGATTCCTCATATGTTATACTATCTGATTTAGGTCGAGTTCATATTTCAGACTTAAAATCTAAATCTATCGATATCTCATCCATAAGATATATGAGGTAATATGCTAATAGATTATATTGAAAGAAAGAAAAAAAGATTGGATTTATAATATACATACTTGGGTAGTTGGATTAAATCTTTAGAATTGCATCCAACTATATAACCTTCATGAATCATGATCACTCCATGCTGATTTGAGTTTTATTACATCTGCTAATAATTTGCCCTTGCACGTGACGTGACTAACTAGCTTACATGTGAATCTGGGTAAGACCACTGGTCTTTATAATTAATCCAAGTCCCTCTTTCTCTGAAATAAAATTTATTTGAGAATAACGATGAATGATATCCCCAACTTGGTTAAATACAATTAGTGTGTATATATATATTGTTTCGTTTGTGTAAATGTGTTCATGATATTCAAAGATGGAAGCAGACCCGAGGTATGACTACGACTCATTTGCACTCGTGGAACAGTAAAGTACAATCTTATGTTATCCTTTATGCATTCCAATGTGAGACATCTCTAAGTGCTACTTTGCTAGTTTGCGATTACCGGAAATGAAGCCCGAAGCAACAAAACCAGTAGGGGTACATTCGGTATCACAGCAGTCGGCCTTAGACCTCGACCCCCGGATTGATCAAGATGAGAAGGTCGAGCCTAT